CCTCGGCTGGGACACGGGGACGGCAGAGGGAGCCATTCCCAAGGACTCATCCCAAAGAGCCAAGGTCAAGGACTGAGCATGGCCACGGGCGCCCTGGGATGGCCACGGACCATCCCGGATGGAATCTGCTCCCTCCGGAGCTGCCCGGATGGCCCTGGCAGCTCCCAGGCACCCCTGTGTTCCCAGAGCCTCCAGCTCTCCCAGAAACCAGGAACAACTTAAAAACCCACCAGTTTTGGTTCATTTTTAGTTTGAACGGGAATTTCGGGCCCCTCAGCCGGAGGGTTTTCCCGGGGGATGGGCCCTCAATCCCTGGTTTGTGCTTAACAGTCAAAGAGCCGAACGTTCCCACTGACCCGGAGCCCAACGAAGCCCTGGGAGGGATGGAAGGCCCTGGAGACGCCACTCCGGAAGCTCCAACTGAACAGCAACGAGTCTGGAATATTCCCCCGTGTCCGAGTGGGCAGGTGAGGAGCCTACGGAGGGATTTGTGGGGATTCCTCGGAGCAGATTCCCCCTGTACAACCCCCCCGGAGACTGGGGGGTGATCACGGGTATCATGGATATCACCCACTCCACGACCGCCTGGAGCAGATCCCGTGCCAGGACTTGGCGTGGGATAGAGAAAAGGTTTGGAAAACATCAGATCCAGAAAAATGTCCATGAAACTTGGCCTTTCCACCCAAACTCCTCCCAACCGCCGCCGCTCCCGGGTCGGACACGAAAGGCAGAGACAGAGACAAGGAACAAAAGGGAAAACCCACGAGCTGCTCCGCGAGCCCGAGGCCAACGCCAGGGACACCCTGGGGCTGCTCCGGCCCAACCGCCGCCGCTCCCGGGTCGGACACGAGAGGCAGAGACAGAGACAAGGAACAAAAGGGAAAACCCACGAGCTGCTCCACGAGCCCGAGGCCAACGCCAGGGACACCCTGGGGCTGCTCCGGCCCGGGAGAACGGAACGGGGTAAAGAAGGGAACGAGTGGTTCCATTGTCAGCCCTCGGCCCCCTGGAATTCCCCCGGAATTCCCGGCCCCGCCCAGGCCCTGCGGTGGGTCGCACTGGGCTCCTTTGTACCGACACCCTTGGAAGGTGCAAAACTCCTGCTCGAGGAGTTCTCGGCAAAGCCAAAAGCTCTGAGGAAAACAGGACTGGGGGGACTTTAGAACCCTCTGGAATATATTTATATAAATAGTCCCTATTTACAGCAACAACCGGGGTGGGGGCGGAGGGAGGGAAGGAGGGGCCGGGACACGCTCGGAGCCACCACCCCTCGCCCTCGGGATGCTCCTGCCTGTCCCAGCAGGATCCCAGCAGGATCCCAGCAGAATCCCAGCCCTCTTCCCACGGATCCCTCACCCCTGTGATGTCCTGCCTGTCCCAGCAGTGTCCCAACAGTATCCCAGCCCTCTTCCCAAGGTCCCTCGCCCCTGGGATGCTCCTGCTGGAGGAAGAAACCATTTTCCTCCCTGGAATCCCAAAGATGCTTTCGATCCCAAGGTCTCTCCTTGTCCATCTCATGGTCCAACCCTGGAGTCCTGTTGGACTCAGCCAAATGGGAAAGCCCTGGGAAAGGCTGTCACTCCCATGGATGCTGGGAAAATGGCTACGAGTGGTGTGGGGGGTGAGGCCTTGTTCAGAAATTGGCCATAACTCCACGTGCAGCACCGGGATGCGGCTGCACCCACCCAGCTCCAGCGCCAGCAGTCCTTCCCTGTGTGCCTCCTGGGAGCCCAGGCAGGGAAAGGCTGATCCCAACCTTGGGAATCCTGACCCCAGCCAAGGAAGGTCCAACACAAACCAGGAAAATGCCGACCCCGACCAGGGAAAGCCTGACCCAAACCAGGCCGATGCCAGAGGGTGCCAATTCCATACAACATTCCCGGTGTTCTCTGCTCTTGGCATCGGCTGCGACGGAAGGGATGAACAATTTTAAGAGGCAAAAGCTCTTCAAGGATTTCTCTGGGACTGTTTGGGCTGGAAAATCATTTTTCATTGCAAAAAACCCCCCCCCAAAATTCATCAGAGGAATATTTATATTCCACAAGGGGAAAATATTTACAGGCCAGGGAGGTTTTAATTTAAATTACACCTTAAATAATAAAATATTTGGTATTAAATATTAGTTCTATTCAAGCAGAAAAAGAGGGATAATCCATTTTTTTGGTGCTTTTAAGCCCAGTTTCTCTCCCGCTCGGACAGATCCCACGCCCAGGCTGGAGCTGGGATCCATCTGGAGCTGATGGCAGGACACAGACACCACATTATCCCTGCATCCCAAATCCATGGCAAGTCCAGCAAGGGAGGGGAAGGGGCCCTGGGGGTCCTTCTGAATCCTCGGGGGTCCCTGGGGCAGCTCCCAGTGACCAACTCCTGTCTGGCTCCACTGGGAGATGGAATTGCAGCCGGGGCTCTGGGATGACACCAGGGATGGACTGACTGGGATACAGGGATGGACTGACTGGGATACAGGGATGGACTGACAGGGATGGACTGACGGGGATACAGGGATGGACTGACTGGGATACAAGGATGGACTGACAGGGATGGACTGACGGGGATACAGGGATAGACTGACTGGGATACAGGGATGGACTGATTGGGATAGAAGGATGGACTGACTGGGATACAGGGATGGACTGACTGGGATACAGGGATGGACTGACTGGGATACAGGGATGGACTGACAGGGATGGACTGACTGGGATACAGGGAAGGACTGACTGGGATACAGGGATGGACTGACTGGGATACAGGGATGGACTCACTGGGATACAGGGATGGACTCACTGGGATACAGGGATGGACTGACTGGGATACAGGGATGGACTGATTGGGATAGAAGGATGGACTGACTGGGATACAGGGATGGACTGACAGGGATAGAGGGATGGACTGACTGGGATACAGGGATGGACTGACAGGGATGGACTGACTGGGATACAGGGAAGGACTGACTGGGATACAGGGAGGGACTGACTGGGATACAGGGACGGACTGACTGGAATAGAGGGATGGACTGACAGGGATACAGGGATGGACTGACTGGGATACAGGGATGAGCAGCTGAGAGGTGTAAGAGGAAGAGCACAGGGAACAGAAATACCTTTGCTGGGCTCTGGATGGATTTAAGGCACTCGGAACAACAGTGGGATATTTGGGTCACAGCGTGGGCTCCGGGATGCAGGATGTTCCCTTCCCTGTCTCCTGGGGAGCTGGGATGGAACATGCCTTGGCTCCAAGCTGGAATGAGAAGCAATGGCTCCTTCCAGACTAAATCCAAGGCCCTGGGATTACACTGGAACTTCCCCTTGGATCAGTGCTGTGCCCTGGAGAGCCCAGGGCTCCGAGGGAGCAAAATGCCTTTTCTTGGGAAAGCCACAGCAGGTCCAGAGAAAGGGGAGGAGCTTGGAGCTTCCCATGGGAATAGCAGGGAGGTGATGCAATACGTGGGAATTAC